GCAATCATGTGCGCGGCAGGCGCCTAGGCGAAACCAGCATTTTCAATTGGACGTGCCTGGAGCCGTAGCGAAAACGACATGCTCAATGAAAGTTGTGGCCGGCGCGTGGGCGACATCGACATTGTCCATCAGACATGTGACTGGCGCAACAGCGAAAACGTCATGATCAATGACAGATGTGGCTGGCGCCTGGGCGACAGCATCATTTTCCATCAGGCATGCGACAGGCGCCACAGCGAGAACGCTATACGCAATGAAGGATGCCGTGGCGCCGAGGCAACAATAACATTTTCACGCAAACATGACATGGCCTGCGCCAAGGCGAGAAGGACATGCTGAATGAAGGATGTCGCTGGCGCCTCGGCGGCAGCCACATTCTCAATCCAGGATCTGGCCAGCGCCAAGGCGAGAACGACATGCTCAATGAAGGATGTCGTCAGCGCCCAGGCGACAGCAGCATTTTCAATCAGACACTCGGCTGGCGCCAACGCGAGAACGACATTCTCAAGGAAGGACGTCGCTGGCGCCAACGCGGCAGCCGCATTCTGAATCGGAGATGTGGACCACGCATAAGCGAGAACAACGCGCCCAGGCGGCGACCGGGCGACCAGACGACCAAACGACCCGACGACTGGGCGCCCGGGCGCCCGGGCGCCCAGATGCCCGGACGCCCAGACGCCCGGGCGCGCCCAAGCGCCTGCGCGCCAGACGCTCGGGGGCGCCAGGACGTCCGGACACCCAGACGCCGAGGCGCCTTTGACGCCCAGGCGCTCGGGCGCCCAGGCCTGACGGGGCGCCCAGACGCCGGGGCGCCTGCGCGCCTGGATGCCCGGGCGCCTGGGCGCCCAGACGCCCAGACGCCCGAACGCCCGGGCCGCGACGTCCAGACGCGGGAGCGCCCGCCGAACGCCCCAACAACGCCGCAGCGCCCAGACGCCCGGGGCGCCTGGACGCTGGGGCGATCGGCGCGGGGCGCCCAGCCGCCCGGAGCGCCCAACGGACGGCGACCAGACGCCTCGGCACCCGCACGCCCGGGGCGTCGCCTGGACGGCGCCCGGGGCGCCTGGGCGCGGACGCTGGGTAGCGCGGCCAGGGCCCAGGCCGCCCGGGCGCCGGGCGCTCCAATGATGCCCAGAGCGCCCGGCCGCCCAGGCGGCGCCCAGACGCCCGCGGCCTGGCGCGCTGGACGCCTGGGGCGCCCGAGCGCCGGGGGCCGCCCTGCAGACGCCTGGGCGCCGCGATGCCCAGGGCACCCGGACGCTTGGACGGCCGGGCGCCCAGACGCCGGATCGTCTGGGCGCCGCCTGGCCCCGGGCGCCTGGGCGCCCAGATTCATTCGCCCGAACGCCAAGAGCGCCCAGCCGCCTGAACGGCGCCCGCGCGACCCGGCCTGGCGCCGGACGCCTAAGGCGCGTGGGCGCTGGGCCGCCCCGGCCGCCCCGGGCAGCCCGGACGCGCCCGGACGGCCCGGACGGCGCCCGGACGCGCCCGGGCGCCCAGACGCCCGGACGCCAGGAGGCCCATGCATGGGCGCCCACAGGGCGCCCAGCGCCCGGACGCCCGGGCGGCCCGGGCGCCGGGCGCCGGCGTGCCCGGACGGCGCCCGCGCCGGACGCTCCCGGGCGCCCTTGTCAGGCGCCCCGGCTCCTCGCGCTGCCCAGACGCCCGGGGCGCTCGGCGCCCGGGCGCCCGGGCAGCCCGGGCGCCCCTGCAGGCAGCCCGGGCGCCCGGACCCCCAGGCGCCCAGCCGCTCGGACGCCCGAGCCGCCCAGGCGCCCCGACACCCGGGCGCCCAGACGCCTGGGCGCCTTGCGCCCGGACGCCAGGCGCCACCTGGACGGCCAGACGCCGGGGCCCCGGACGCCCGGACCCGGACGCCGGGGCGCCCGGCCCCCGGACGCCCGGGCCCCCGGGATGGCTCGGACGGCGCCCGGCGCCGGGCGGAACGCCCGGGCCGCTCGCGGGCGCCCGGCGGCCCGGGCCCGGACGCCCGGGCGCCCAGCCGCCCAGACGCCCGGGCCGCCCGGGCGCCCGGACAGCGTCAGGCGGAATTGCGGTAATTATTGTGGCGTCCAGGAGTTCCAGCATATCTGACCCGACCTTGCCAGGACCTTGCGGGGGTACTTGTCGTCCGCGGACCCCCAGGGGCCGCCACGCGCGCGCGAACTAGAAACATTGATAGATTATTACAGGAGTTTTTAGCACGCCTCTGACCCGTTGGGCCGGCGGCTTGTGGGACCTGTGAAGAGAGAACTTGGAGGTCGGGAGGGAGGGTTCGCTGCAACATCGTCAACGCGTCTTGGGTTTACACTGGTCTTCCTCCCTTCTCCTCCTCCTCCTCCTCCTCCTCCTCCTCTCCTCCTCCTCCTCCTCCTCCTCCTCCTCTTGTTTTGTCCTGCTCCCCGCCTCCCCCTCCTCCTCCCCCTCCTCTTCCTCCTCCTCCTCCTCCTCCTCCTCCTCCTCCTCCTCCTCCTCCTCCTCCTCCTCTACAAGCCCCAAGTACTAGTGGGACGGGTGCTGGGGTCGTGGAGCGTCGTGGGGGGGGGTCCGGGAAGCGGAAGGGGCCTTTGAGGAGGTTGGATGCCCCTCGGCCAGAACCACCCCCCGTAAGGGCCCTTGGGGGGGCTTCCGGGAGCACGTTTTCAAGGCCTCCGGAACCATCAAGATGCGGCGCTGCTGGAGACGTGGAGCGTCGTGGGGGTGACGGGGAAGCGGAAGGGGCCTCTGAGGAGGCTGGACGCCCCTCGGCCAGGTTTGGAGGGCCAGTTGAGGGTTTCCACGCGGCTCTCAGGGCAGAGCTGGCGCGGAAAAACCGGCACCAGGTTATGCGTTTTGCAGAGTATGTGCTTGCTACGCTGGGCGGCGTCGGCAGTGTCTCAGCAGGAGCGAGTGCAAGGGCCAACGAGCCACTGCACAGGGCAGACCGAATCTTCTGTGGAAGGGCCAGCACCCGACCACGGGGAGGCCTTTGGGGTGAGGGTCCCTGGGCTTTGCAAGGTCCCTTCTACACGGTAGAGTTGACCTGCTCATCCTGTCTATCCTCCCCTTCCTCCTCTTCCTCTTTATTATTCTTATCATTAGTATTATTAATGTTCTTATTATTATTATTATCATTAATATTATTATTATTACTATTATTCTTCTTCTTCTTTTTTAACATTATTAGTATTATCATTGATATTATTATTATTATTAATATTTATTACCATTATTATTAGTAGTAGTAGTAACTACCCCAGTGCGACCCTACCTAGAAGTTGGAGCCCCTAGGAAGGCAGCATTAGTTGCTATGCTATGCTATGCCATGCCATGCTATGTTACGCTATGCTATGCTATGCTATGCTATGCTATGCTGCGCTATGCTATGCGATGCTATGCTAAGCTAAGCTATGCTATGTTATGTTGTGCTCTGCTATGCTAAAGCTCAGCGAAGCTAATATTCAGGTAAGCTAAGCTAAGATAGACCTGATCAGGGAGGCGACTCAGGCTTTCAGGTGCAAGGGTCTGGCCCTGCGTCTGCTTGCTTGCTGCTTTTTTCCTGGAAGGGGGTAAGGGTGTCGGGGCCCTTTGCTTGCTTGCTGTTTTGGCGGCCTTGGCTTTGCTGCATCTGCGGGTCTTCTGGGGTCACCGTGAGGGTCGCCCTGGGGCTCCCCCAAGGCTCCAACGGGGTTTCTGGCGGCTGCGGGGAGCAGTTATGAGCAGTTCCTGAAACCATCTTGTGGTAACACTGGGACAACTCTGGGACCTACTTGGACAATTTCGGGGCCACTCGGAGGCATCTTGGGGCTCTTGAGGCCACCTTCGGGCCATCTTGGGAAATTGCGAGGCTATGTCGGAGCCCCTGGGCTCTGGGGGTGTTATTTGGGTTGCCCATTGGGGACGGGGTCGCGTTGATGCCTCGGTGGCCCATGCCTGGCCCATCCTGACCAGTGCTTGCATGCGTGTTTCAGAAAATTGTGGGTTCATCTGCTGTTTCGTTTTTTCATCAAGGAGGTTAGGGGATCAGAGATTCTTTGCTTGCTTGCTAGTTTGAAGGCGTTGACATTCGATGTTTGGTTTGCTTGCTTGCTTTTTCCGGACCCTTCTTGAGGGGTCCGAGTATTCGTTCAGATTGCTTGCTGATTTTCTGAAGAGTCTTTGGGAGTAGAATTGCCTCCCTGATTAAACCTGAGCTAAGATGAAGCTAAGCTAAGCTAATATGAAATAAGCTAAGCTAAGATGAGATAAGCGACGCTAAGCCAAGGGGACGTAGCTGGGGGAACCGCGGGGCGGATACTGGGGGAACCGCCCGGGGCGCTTTCCACTGCCCGGCCCTTTAAGCCCAGAGAGTAAGAACCCTTCTAGGCAGAGCCTAGGTAGGGAATCATGTTTTCTGTTCGTAGTATGAATTTTCTTGTTTTGATTATTCGTAGTATTGTTATTACTACTCTTCTTCTTCAGCCTCTTCCTCTTCCTCCTCCTCCTCCTCCTCCTCCCCCTCCTCTTTCTCCTCCCTCCCTCCCTCACTCCCATTCCCCTTCCCATTCCCATTCCCATCTCCTCCCTCCCTCCCTCCTCCCTCCGTCCCTCCCTCCTCTCTCCTTCCTCTCTCTCTCCCTCTCTCCCTTCCTCCCTCCCTCCCTTCTCCCGCCCTCCCTCCCTCTCTCCCTCCCTTCCTCCCTCCCCCTCCCCTCCTCCTCCTCCTCCTCCTCCTCCTCCTCCTCCTCCTTCTCCTCCTCCTCCTCCTCCTCTCCTCCTCCTCCTCCTCCTCTCCTCCTCCTCCTCCTCCTCCTCCCTCCTTCTCCTCCTCCTCCTCCTCCTCCTCCTCTCCTCCTCCTGCTCCTCCTACTCGCCGCCTCCTCTTTCTCCTCCTCCTCCTCCTCCTCTTTCCCCTCCTCGCTTCTCGCTCCTCCTCCTCCGCCCTCCTCGCTCCTCACTCCTTCTACTCGATCATGGCTGCTGCCGCCACCGGTTCGTGACGAGCGATGAGCGCAACGCAACGCCCCGCCCCGCCCGCGGAGGCCCGGCAGCGAGAACGCGAGGAGAAGAAGCAGAAGGCCGAGCCGGGAGCTCCTCCCCTTCCTCCTCCTCCTCCTCCCTTTCCTCCTCCTCCTCCTCCTCCTCCTCCTCCTCCTCCTCCATTCCTCTTCCTTTTCCTTGTGCACTTTTTCCCTGTCGCACCCCGAGGCCGGTCGAAAGGTCGGGCCGGGCGTTCCGCCTGAGCGAGACTTCCTCACCATGTATGGCCTTGAAGCTTAAACATTGGCAACAGTTTCACAGATGGAGTGCGGGCCGTTTTCAAAATGTGGCTTTCGCCTTAGCGCTGCGCAGATTGTTTTTCAACAGTTGCAAGAGTTTCACGGATTGACGGTTCGCTTCAAAATGTAGCTCTCGCTTGAGCGCCGCGCACATTCGTTTTAAACATGTGCAAGATCTTCACGGATTGAGGGCGGTCGTTTTCAAAATGTGTCTCTCGCCGTAGCGCCGCGCACATTCGTTTACAAAAATTGTTTACGCTTCGCGAAACCCCGCCAGCCTATTCAGAAGCCCTGCCCACGAGAGCTGACGGGAAATGGAAAACAGAGACGCGTATAGTGAAACAGAGCGGTCAAAGAGAGGAGGGGGAGGAACGTGTTGAGCCATGTTGGAGGTTATCTTGGAGCATCAGAGGCCTTCTTGGAGCTATGGTGGTTGTTGGGAGCGTCTTGGGGTCCTCTTGGGGCTCTTTGGTGGCATCTTGGGCCCTCTTGGGACTCTTTTGGGGTCCTCTTGGGGCTCTTTTGGGGCGTCTCGGGGCTCTCTTGGGGCCTGTCTTGGGGCCCTCTTGGGGCCCTCTTGGGGCTCTCCTGGGAGCTTTGGAGGGCCTCCTGGGGCCATCTTGGAGGCCATCGATCAAAAAGGGGGAGTCCCTTATCTAGCCCCCCACCTAAGACCCCTCGAAATCGCCTCTGGGGGGCGCTCTTAGGGCGATCTTGGGCGCTCTTGGGGCCGTCTCGGGGGCCTATTGGGTCCCTCTGGGAGCTCTCTTGGGCCATCTTGGGCCATCTTGAGGCCTCAAAAGCGCATCGGAAGCGAAGAGGCGAGAAGGCCAGCATCATCGATTTCCCTTGGGTGTTTGAAGGAATTTGGCTTCTCGGGGAGGTCCTGAGGGGTCTCCAAAAGCACTTGGATCCGTCTTGTGGCCCTCGTGAGGCCTCTTGGAGGCATGTTGTTAGCTATCGTGAGCCATGTTGGAATATCTTGAGCGATCTTGAAGGTAGGTCATCGTGGGCTCTTCTGCGGCCCTCTTGGAGCCATCTTGGGCCAAAGAGGACCCTCTGACACCTCGCGCCCCCTCCCCGTCCAGGTCCAGTGGAGGCGGTAGGGGAGGGAAAACCCTTCCCCGAAGGGGAAGAGGAGCTCATGCAAGAGGGAAGAAACACATCGTTAGACCGGCTGCGCCCAGAGGGCTGGCGGGATTTGCAAGAGTCCCACGGGTTGAGGGCGGGCCGCTTTCAAAATGTGGCTCTCGCCGTGGCGCCGCGCACATTCTTTTTAAAAAGTTGCAGAAGTTTCACAGATTGAGGGCGGGTGGAATTCAATAATTATCCCGGCAAAGCAACCTAACAGCGATGTGTATAAGCATATCTGGAAGCATTCCCCTTAAGATTCAGGTGAGAATCCAGTTGTAGAATTCTGCTGTTCTCGCAGTCGCAGTCGCATTCGCAATGACAGTCGCAGTGGCAACGGCCTTAGGATCAAATGGAATCCTAAGGATTCCTAGGGATTCCTAAGGCATCCTTAGGCATCCTTAGGAATCCATAGGAATCCTTAGGAAACCTTAGGAATCCTTAGGAATCCTGATTCCTAGGGAGTCCCAGGGATTCCTAGGATTCCTAGGGAATCCTAAGGATTCCGAATGATTCGCCTGCCTCGGCCTCAGCCTCAGCCTGCCTCAGCCTCAGCCTGCCTCAGCCTCAGCCTCAGCCTGTCTCAGCCTCAGCCTGCCTCAGCATATCTCAGCATCAGCCTCAGCCTCAGCCTCAGCCTGCCTCCGCTTGCCTCGGCCTCAGCCTCAGCCTGCCTCGGCCTCAGCCTCAGACTCGGCCTCAGCCTCAGCCTCAGCCTGCCTCAGCCTCAGCCTCTCAGCCCCAGCCTGCATCAGCCTCAGCCTCAGCCTGCCTCAGCCGCAGCTTGCCTCAGCCTCAGCCACGGCCTCAGCCTCAGCCTCAGCCTGCCTCAGCTTCAGCCTCAGCCTCAGCCTGCCTCGGCTTGCCTCAGCTTCAGCCTCAGCCTGCTTCGGCCTCAGCCTCAGCCTCAGCCTGCCTCAGCCTCAGCGTCAGCCTCTCAGCCTCAGCCGGCCTCGGCCTCAGCCTCAGCCTCAGCCTGCATCAGCCTCAGCCTCAGCCTGCCTCAGCCTCAGCCTGCCTCAGCCTCAGCCTCAGCCTGCCTCAGCCGCAGCTTGCCTCAGCCTCAGCCACTGCCTCAGCCTCAGCCTCAGCCTGCCTCAGCTTCAGCTCAGCCTCAGCCTGCCTCGGCTTGCTCAGCCTCAGCCTCAGCCTGCCTCGCCTCAGCCTCAGCCTCAGCAGCCTCAGGCCTGCCTCAGCCACAGCGCCTCTCAGCCTCAGCCTGCATCAGACAGCCTCTCAGCCTGCCTCAGCCTCAGTCTCAGCCTGCCTCAGCCTCAGCCTGCCTCAGCCTCCTGAGCCTGCCTCGGCCTCAGCCTCAGCCTGCCTCAGCCTCAGCTTGCCTCAGCCTCAGCCTCAGCCTGTCTCAGCCTCAGCCTGCCTCAGCATCAGCCTCAGCCTCAGCCTCAGCCTGCCTCGGCTTGCCTCGGCCTCAACTTCAGCCTCAGCCTCGGCCTCAGCCTCAGCCTCAGCCTGTCTCAGCCTCAGCCTGCCTCAGCCTCAGCCTGCATCAGCCTCAGCCTCAGCCTGCCTCCTCCGCAGCTTGCCTCAGCCTCAGCCACAGCCTCAGCCTCAGCCTCAGCCTGCCTCAGCTTCAGCCTCAGCCTCAGCCTGCCTCGGCTTGCCTCAGCCTCAGCCTCAGCCTCAGCCTCGGCCTCAGCCTCAGCGTCAGCCTCTCAGCCTCATCCTGCATCAGCCTCAGCCTCAGCCTCAGCCTGCCTCAGCCTCAGTCTCAGCCTGCCTCAGCCTCAGCCTGCCTCAACCTCAACTTCAGCCTGCCTCGGCCTCAGCCTGCGTCAGCCTCAGCCTCAGCCTGCCTCAGCCTCAGCCTGCCTCAGCCTCAGCCTCAGCCTGCCTCGGCGTGCTTCAGCCTCAGCCTCAGCCTGCCTCGGCCTCAGCCTGCCTCATCTCGGGCATTCAAAATATGGCACAGGACTAGTGTTCTGGAACGCGAAGATCACGAAGTGGCCCACAGTTGGCTCCGGGCAATCAACATATGGTACAGGAATGGTGTTCCGGGAACACGAAGAACACGAAGTGGCCTACAGATCGCTCCGGGCATTCAAAGTGTGGCCTGGGAATTGTGTTCTGGGAACACGAAGACCACGAAGTGGCCTACAGTTGGCTCCGGGCATTCAAAATGTGGCCTGGGAATGGTGTTCTGGAACACGAAGAACACGAAGTGGCCTACAGTTGGCTCCGGGTATTCAAAATGCGGCCTGGGAATGGTGTTCTGGGAACGCGAAGAACACGAAGTGGCCTACAGTTGGCTCCGGGCATTCAAAATGTGGCCTGGGAATGGTGTTCTGGGAACGCGAAGAACACGAAGTGGCCTACAGTTGGCTCCGGGCGTTCAAAATGTGGCCTGGGAATGGTGTTCTGGGAATGGATTCCCAAGAATTCCTAAGGATTCCTAAGGATTCATGGGGCTGCAGGATTTGTCCGGATCCCGCCCAGACCCCCCTGGGGCGTCAAGATGTTTTCTTTTGACACCATAGAAAACTATCAGCAAAAGCTGTTGGGTAAAAAATGGTTCTCGCCTTAGCGCCGCTCACATTCGTTTTCATCAGTTGCAAGAGTTTCACGGGTTGAGGGCGGTTCGTTTTCAAATTGTGGTTCTCGCTTTAGCACCGTGCACACTCCTTCGTAAAGTTGCAAGAGTTCCGCGGAGTCCCATGGCCAATGTAGCAGAAATGGCGTTTTGGGAAGAGTCCGGATTAGGAGGGTATAACATTCACGCTAAGTCGCTGTGTTCAAGTCCCTGGAATGGCGTTCTGGCGCGATTCAGGGTTGTCAAGACGCAACAGTCAGGGTGATCCATGGCGTTGGAGTTCCGAGGATAATGTTTCGGCATGCTTCAGGGTCCTCAAACGGTTGTCTTCCAACGAGGCTGTTCCCTCAGTAGAAATGATACATTGTAGGAGCATGCCAAAACGGAGCTTGGAGGGACGGTTTATGCCAACATCGTTGATGGCTCTTGGATTTACACTGGTCCTCTCCTCCTCCTCCTGCTCCTCCTCCTTCTCCTCCTCCTCCTCCTGCTCCTCCTGCTCCTCCCCCTCTTCTCCTCCCCCTCGTTCTCCTCGTCCTCCCCCTCCCCTCCTCCTCCTTCTCCTCCTCCTCTCCTCCTCCTCCTCCTCCTCCTCTTTTCTCTCGTCCTCCCCCTCCTCCTCCTCCTCCCCTCCTCCTCCTCCTCTCCTCCCCCTCCTCCCCTCCTCCTCCTCCTCCTCCTCCTTCTCCTCCTCCTCCTCCTCCTCCTCCTCCTCCTCCCCTCCTCCTCCTTGTCCTCCTCCTCCTCCTTGCTCCTCCTCCTCCTCCTCCTCCTCCTCCTCCTTCTCCTCCTCCTCCTCCTCCTCCTCCTCCTCCTCCCCTTTCTCCTCCTCTCTCCTCCTCTCTCTTGCTCCTCCTCCCCCCCTCCCCGTACCCTGTCGCGCGAAGGCCGAGCAGGGGCTACCGGCGAGGCCGGGGGTGGGCCCGCGCCAGGGCGGCGCGCCGGGGGCGCGGCCGCCAGAGCAGGGCGTCCCGCCGCCGCCGAGTTTCCAGGACCTTGAGGAGGAGGAGGAGGAGGAGGAGGAGGAGGAGGAGGAGGAGGAGGAGGAGAAGGAGGAGGAGGAGGGGTCGGAGGAGGAGGAGGAGGGGTCGGAGGAGGAGGAGGAGGAGGAGGAGGAGGAGGAGGAGGAGGCCCCGGGGATCAGACGCAGAAGTGCGGCGGCCCGCGGGAGCTCAGACGACGACTCCCGCACCTTCAGGGACGCTCTCGAGGCCAGCGGGCCCCCCAGAACTGTGGCGTCGTCAGGGCGCCCGCGAGGCCCCGCGCCCGCCAGTCCTTTCCACCTGACTCCACTCCTGGCCTCCCAGTGCCGAATATCTTGAGCATTCTGGGGCTCAGGACCCCGAAGAGAATCTCAAGTGGCCCTCAGTGGCCGATAGCCAAGGTGCCTCGTTTCCCTTTCTTCCAGCTGGTGGGGGGGTTCGCCCCTCTGGGTCGCCCCCACCACTTGCGTATCGGCCCCCTTCGGTGCCCGTTCTTGTGGTCGTCCTCTCTCGTCGTCGTGTCGTGCGTTGCTTTCCTCCCGCCCCTTCCCTCCTTTCGGGGTGGCCGATTCGCTGGGGGTTCGCGATGCACCATCCACTTTTGCCACAAGCCCACGGCCATGCCCGTCTGTAAAACGTTGGCCGCCCAGCCGTGGTAGGATGTGGGTGGGGTAAAGTGATTTCGAAGCCACGCGAGGCCTGGACCCTCCACTTCCTCCCTCCCTCCTCCTCCTCCTCCTCCTCCTTCTCCTCTTCCTTCTCCTCCTTCTCCTCCTTCTCCTCCTCCTCCTCCTTCTCTTCCTCTTCCTCCCTCGTTCGTTCGTTCCCTCCCTCCCTCCCTCCTCCCTCCCTCCCGCCGCCCGCCAGCCGCGGTTGGCAGCCTCTGGCGAGGACAGGCCCGGGGGCCATCGGTTGCGGCGCGACGGCGGGGAGCTGCTCTTCATGAGCGGCGTGGCGCAGCGGCAGGGCGGGCACAGGCGGCGTTTCCTCTGCCGCTGGGCCGGGTCGAGAGGGAGGAGAGAGGGAGGATGGAGGATGGATGAGGGAGGAGGGAGGGAGGAGGGAGGAGGGAGAGGAGGGAGGAGAGAGGGAGGGAGGAGGAGGAGAAGGAAGGAGGAAGGAGGAAGGAGGAAGGAGGAAGGGAAGGAGGGAGATCGGCCCCGATCTTCGATTTCGGAGCAGGAAATGACGTACCGACTCGGCTGCTCTTCCTGGAGAGCCCTTGTCGCCACGGCGGGATTTTTTGCTTTACTCCTGGCCAGATCATACGCCGGGAGAGGAGGGGCAGTCAGGGAGGGAGGAGGGAGGGGGGGAGGAGGGAGGAGAGAGGGAGGAGGAGGAGGAGGAGGAGGAGGAGGAGGAGGAGGAGGAGGAGGAGGAGGAGGAGGAGGAGGAGGAGGAGGAGGGGGAGGAGGGGGAGGAGGGGCAGTCCGGGAGAGTCGATGTTCGAGGCTTTCTTGGCGTTTTCGCCGATCCTCGGCGGCGGTTCTCGAGCCTCGGGATCTGACTTCCAGCGGCGGCGCCTCGGCGCGAGCGTTCCGCGGGGGGTTGCCTGGCTCGTCCCGAGCTGCCGCGGGAGGCCCGAGGTGCGACCCGAAAAAACCACGGCGTCGAGTAGGGGCTGGGAATCGACCCCCAATCTCTTCGATCTTTCCCACCCTTCGGTGCACAGGGGATGCCCGCTGTTCGACATCGCAGGGGGTGAGCCTATCTTCGATCTTTCCCACCCTTCGGTGCACAGGGGATGCACGCTGTTTCGACATCGCAGGGGGTGGGCCTGTGCGCACAGCGGCACGTTGCGCTCCCTGCCCCCCCTCCTCCTCCCTCCCTCCCTTCCTCCCTCCATTTCTTTCCCCCCCCCCCCCTCCCCTCTCCCTCTGTCCTAGAGTGGAGGCAAGCAGCGATGAAGCCTGTCCGAGATGGCACCATGCCGCAGCAGCCGACCCAGGCGCGGAAGGAGACGAGCAGCGGCCGCGGCCGAGAGCAGCGCGAGCAGCCCGGCCAGGGCCCGGGAAGGGCGAGCCCCCCAAGACGGAGGGGCAGGAAAAAGCAAGAGCCCCCCGTCGGCCTCTGTGTTGCCAGCCGCAAAAGAGTCTCTCCCCATAGGCAGCGGCGCGTTCGGGCCCCACGGAATCCGGAAGGGCAGGAGGTCCTGTGGGAGCTGGCCATGCTTCTCGTGGAGCACCCCTGCCCCCAAAGTGGCGCTCGGTACCCCACGTTGGGTCAACGTCGGGGGCTGGAGCGCTGCGGGGAACAACCGATGGAGCACCCTTGGCCGGCGCTCCTGGAGCTCACGAAGCGGGGCAGGGCAGGCTTTGGCGGCTGGCGTAAGCTGTGTATGGCCTGTCGAGAACTCTGCCTCGAAGCACTCCGCGTCTGGCCCTCGGGTGCCAGCACGTCCCCCTTCCCGCGCTGCCGGTGATGGCGTCCGCACGGTGGCTCATGCGAGCCAGAAGGGGCCGAGTGGGCTCGGCGCTGAGGGGCCACCCGGCAGCACGGGTCCAGGCTCGTGGCCCTCCCCCTCCGCAAGGCCAACGGGAGTTTGACTTTCGCCAGCTTCCACCAGGAGGGAGCCTGTGGCCTTCTTGGCCATCTGGGGTGCTCCATGCCTCCCGGCATGTCCCACAAGAGGGCAGCGCACTAGTATATCTGGTCCTGGGAAGATCGTTAGCCGCGGAGACTTGTTCGCTTTCCTTCCTGGTGTGGTCCCCTCTTCCCCGCGAGGCCAGGGAGCGGAGGGGCTCTGGGTGGGGCCCCTGGTCCTCGACCTCCTAGAAACGCACTTCGCTCCACGACGCGCAAGGGGGGCTGGCCCAACAGCCCGCCATCCAACCCCTTCTCATGTGGCTGGGCCACACGTGCAGGCTCTTGTCTCGCTCGGCTCGGTCCCCCCACTCGGGGGTCGTTGGCCACATCGAGAGCACGCACCTTACCGCCACAGGGCCATGTCTGCTGGGTCGTTTCGAACTCGTCCTGCAGATCACCCTGTCGGCGGGCTCCTGACAAGAAGTGGAGGATGTACGTGCTGCGCTCGCCTGCTGGTCGAGGCACGCACACATTGGTTTCACCCATCGGGGTGGCACGCTCCTTTGGGTCCCGAGGAGGGGGAGGCGGGCGCAACGTCTATTTTGGCCCCGTCCTGGGCCCGTTCTCCCTCCAGCTGCGCGCTCGATCCGTCCGCGAGGCATTGGGATGGAGGGCGTCAGGGTCGGGAAGAGAGACGGGCGGCCCCAAGAGGCTGGGATCACCGATGGGACCTTGGATGCGATGAGTCACCTCGTCGGCATAGAACTTAGGTCTACCAGCCTTCCGATTGTGGCCCCGGTCGCCTCCGGAACCGACTCTCTGTCGCTGGCCCCTTCCTCAGCACTCTTGTCAACAACGATCGCTCTCCAAGCCACTCGACATCGAGTAATTCTGTCTAGCATTTCTACAAGCGGCTCAAGCTATGATGCTGCCACAAGCAAAAAATAACAAACCGTTCCGCTCGCCCATCGTGGTGGGTCTTGTGGCTTGTGGCGTGCCCTGCTGATGTGAATCTTGAGCGCCGCAGCCGAATGAATGTGCCCTTCGCAGTGTGGGGGGGCATTGATGCTCCTGGGTTTGTGGCGCTGGCCTCTCGAAGTCTGGCCTGATCCCCGAACGTCGACATGCTTCCTGAATCTCACCGCGCCACGCCATGTTGTCATCTTTCTGCACTCCAAGGAACACCTGTCTCAAATGACCCTGCTTGACACTTCTGGTGAACGAGCACCTCCCTCCTTCATCCTTCCCCTCCTCCTCCTCCTCCTCCTCCTCATCATCCTCATCCTCCTCCCCTATGTCCTCCCCCTCCTTCTCCTCCTCCTGCACCTCCTCCTCCTCCTCTCCTCCTCTCCTCCTCCTCTCTTCCTCCTCCTCCTCCTCCTCTCTGTCCTCCTCCTCGTCCTCCTCTTCCTCCTCCTCTCCCTTTTCCTCCTCGTCCCTTCTTCCCCTCCCTCCTCCTCCTCTCCTCCTCCTCCTCCTCCTCCTCCTCCTCCTCCTCCTCCTCCTCCTCCTCCTCCTCCCCCTCCTCCCCCTCCACGCGTCATTTCGGCCTTCCTCCTACACCACCTCCACGCAGCCTTCTGGCCCCCATCCCCTCCTCCTCCTCCTCCTCCTGCTCCTCCTCCTCCTCCTCTTCTCCTCCTCCTCCTCCGTTTCGTCCTCGTCCTCCTCCTCCTCCTCCTCCTCCTGCTCTTCCTTCCTCCCTCCTCCTCTCCTCCTCCTCCTCCTCCTCTCCTCCTCCTCTCTCCTCTCACTGCTCTCTTCCTCCTCCTCCTCCTCCTCCTCCTCCTCCTCCTCGTGCTCCTCTATCCTCGTGCTCTCTCTCTCTCTCTCTCTCTCGTACTTCCTCCGCCTCCAAATTATCCTCTCCTCCTCGTCCTCTTCCTCCGGCTCTTCCTCCTCCTCCTCCTCTTCCTCTTCCTCTTCCTGGTCCTCCTCCTGGTCCTCCTCCGCCTCCTCCTCCTCCTCCTCCTCTTCCTGCTCTTCCTCCTCTTCCTCCTCCTCCTCCTCATCGAAATCCTCCTCTTCCTCTTCTTCATCCTTCTCCTCCTCCATTCCTTCCCCTTAATCATAATTTCTCCTTGTTGCACCCGAAGCTCGTTTTTTGGGCGGGCCGGGCGTTTCGCCTAAGACTTCCTCACAAAGTATGACTCGGAAGCTTAAGCATTGGGAACAGCTTCACCGATGGATTGCGGGTCGTTTTCAAAATGTGGTTCTCGCCTTAGCGCCGCGCGCATTCGTTTCAATACACTTCAAGAGCTTCACGGATTGAGGGCGAGGCGTTTTCAACACGTGGCTGTCGCCTTAGCGCCGCGCACATTTAAACATTACAAGAGTTTTTCGGATTGAGGGCGAGTGGTTTTCAACATGTGGCTCCCGTCTTAGCGCCACGCGCATTCGTTCTAACACATTGCATGCAGAAGCTTCACGGATTGAGGGCGAGGCGTTGTCAACATGCGGCTGTCGCCTTAGCGCCGCGCACATCTAAATAATACAGGAGCTTTCGGATTGAGGGCGAGTGGTTTTCAACAATTGGCTCTCGTCTTAGCGCCACGTGCATTCGCTTCAAAATGTGCAACCGCTTCACGGATTGAGGGCGAGTGGCTTTCAACATGTGGCGCTCGCTTTAGCGCCGCGCGCATTCGTCTTACACATGTACAAGGGCTTCATGGATTGAGGGCGGGTGGTTTTCCACATGTGGTTCTCGCCCTAGCGCCGCGCACATCCGTCTTACAACATTGCAAGAGCTTTTCGGGTTGAGGGCGGTTCATTTTCAAAGTGTGGTTCTTGTTTTCGCGCCGCGCGCGCTCGTTTTAAAACATTGCAAAAGTTTCACGGAATCCCATGACCAGCGTACTTGAACTTATATGTTCGAAGGTTTCAGACTTATGGGGGTGCACAAGGTATGTTGGTTCGCGGTGTTCAAGTCCCAAGAATGGCGTTCTGGCACGACTCTGGATTGTCGAGACGCAACAGTCAGGTTGACCCGTGGCATTGGAATCCCGAGAACCATATGTTCGCATGTTCCAGGGTCTTCAAACAGTTGCCTTCAAACAAGGCAGTTCCTTACGTACACATGAACAGTTGTAGGGGCCTATGCAGAGGGAGCCTGGAGGGAGGGTGTGTTCCAACATCGTTGATGTCTCTTGGGTTTACACTGGTCCTCCGCCTCCTCTTCCTGCTCTTCCCCCTCCTCCCGGGGGGAGGGGTGGGCACAGGCGGCGCTCCGCACTCCTCTTTGGCCTCTCCCTCTCTCTGTCTGTCTGTCTGTCTGTCTCTCTCTCTCTCTCTCTCTTCCTTTCCTTTGTTTCGGCGTCCGATTCGCCCCTCCGCCCCGCCCCCCCCCCCCCCTCTCTCGTTTCTCCTCATCCGAATGTTTTCTCCTCACTCTGCAATTTTCTTCCCTGCTGCCGCTGCCGCGTTCCTTTTCCTCCGTCATCCTCGCTCCTCCTCCTCCTCCTCCTCCTCCTCCTCTTCCTCCTCGTAGTCGTCGTTATCGTCGTCGTCATCATGCCTTTTCCTCTCGTTTCCCTTCTCGCTCCTCCACGGTTGCACCAGTCCTTCCCTCCCCTTCGGCCCCCATCCTTCTCTTCCTTCAGCCTCTGATTTCCCCTGTTGCTGTTTCCCCTCCTTTTCTTTCTCCTACTTCTCCTCCTCCCCCCCTCCTCCTCCTCTTCCTCCTCCTCCTCCTCCTTCTTCTCCTCCTCCTCCTCATCCTCCTCATCCTCCTCCTCCTCCTCCTCCTCCGACTCCTCTTGAACCAACCCTTCGAGTAGCGGCAGGAGGATTGGCAGCAGTGGCGGCGGCTGCGACTGAGGTCATTAGGCCCACGATACTTTTCTGGAGGGTGGCGGTTCGCGACCTGGCTCGAGCACGTGTGGTGCCACATCATGTTTGGTGACGCCCGTCGTCCCGAGGGCGGAGTGGGGCAGTGCCGCGCCGTGCCGTGGTGCCATGCCGTCACGTAGTGCCGTGGTGCCGTGCCGTCACGCGCGGGGAGTGGCGGTGCCGCGCCGTGCCGTAGTGCCGCGCCGCCACGCAATGCCGTAGGTGCCGTGCCGTCACGCAGTGCCGTCGCGCCGTGACGCTGTGCTCTGCCGTCGCGTGCAGGTTGGTTGTGCGCTGCCCTGCGGCCCGCCTGGTTGGGGCGGGGTACACATACCAGACAGGCACCCCGTCCAGGGTGGTGGCCGAGCTCCGCCTGGCAGCCGACGGGGTCGGTCCCCCGCCCGCCCGCCTTGGGGTGGGGATGTTGGGGTTGTGAGTTAGCTGGGCTGTGTTTTCGGGAGGCCTTCGGCCCCACAGGGCCCGCCCAGCAGAGCCGCGCACGCATGTGCCATCAGAGGGCGCGCAGCCACGCCCCAGAACCACGGGGGGGCTATCCTCCTTCCCCTCCTCCCCATCCTCCTCCTCTTCCTCCTCCTCCTCCTCCTCCTCCTCCTCCTCCTCCTCCTCCTCCTCCTCCTCCTCCTCCTCCTCCTCCTCCTCCTCCCCCTCCTCCTCCTCCTCCTCCTCCTCCTCCTCCTCCTCCTCCTCCTCCTCCTCCTCTTCGTATTCCTCATCGTATTCTCCTCGTATTCCTCCTCTTATTCCTCCCCCTCCTCCTCCTCCTCCTCCCCCTCCACCTCCTCCTCCTCCTCCTCCTCCTCCCCCTCCTCCTCCTCCTCCTCCCTCCTCCTCCTCCTCCTCCTCCCCCTCCTCCTCCCCTCCTCCTCCTCCTCCTCCTCCCCCTCCCCCTCCTCCACTCCTCCTCCTCCTCCTCCTCCTTCTCCTCCTCCTCCTCCTCCTCCTCCCCCTCCCCTCTCCCGCTCCCCTCCCTCCCTCCCTGCCTCCTTCCCACCCCTCCGTCATCCCATCCATCCATTATCCTTCCTCTTCCTCCTTCCTCCCTCCTCCCTCCTCCTCCTCCTCCTCCCTTTCCCGCCTCCCTCCTCCCCCTCCTCCCTCCTCCTCCTCCTCCTCCTCCTCCTCCTCCTCCTCCTCCTCCTCCTCCCCCTCCTCCCTCTCCCTCTCCTCCCCGTCCACACAGCATTCTAGCCCTCTTCCTCCTTCTCCTCTACCATCCCCTACAGGACCGAGAGCGCGAGGATCCGCATCCAGTGTCCACACTGCCGTGCTGTCAACGAGGTCACGGCCGCGGCTGGTTACAGGGTCCGCGCCCTCCTACTGTCTCCCGGAGGAGGAGCAGCAGCAGCGGCACCAGCTGCAGCAGCAGCAGCAGCAGCAGCAGCAGGAACAGCTGGAGAGAAGAAGGATGAGTCGGAGGAGGAGCCTCAATCCTGGCTGCAGCTGGCGCTTCGCGACTTTGAAAGCGAATGCGCGCGACGCTAAGGCGAGAGCCGCATTTGAACACACCCGCTCCATTCGTGCAGCTGTTGGCTTTTGAAACGGATGTTCGTGAGACTCAAGCGAGAGCCGCAGCTTGAAAACGAATCGTACCTATCCCTGTAACTGCAGGAACTGTTAATATCGAATTTGCGCGGCTTCAAGTCGAGAGCTGCTTTTTGCAAACAACCAGCGCTGCAGCTGTTGGAGTGTTTGAGCTTCGGGATAGTCATATGGACGGAAGTCTCAAGCGAACCGCCCGGCCCAGCCTACGGATACATCTGGTGGTGCAACATGGGGGCAGTTCTTTATTCAATACGCTTCGCGTTCACCGCCCGCCCTTTCCAATTCTCGCCGGGTGTGTCGAAGGCCGAAATAAATATTCAGACGGTTCTAGACTTCCCAGGCGTGGCCCAAGGGGGCCTTGGCATGTGCGAAACGAGGTCCCATGAAGGACCCGAGGTGGCCCAGGAGGTCCAGTGCGCAAGCCAAGAGCGAGCAGTCTCAGGTTATCCCTGAGCCCGAAGAAGTCTCTGTCTCAGTTCCCATGCTCCCAAGCAGGGCCAGTGGCGGCCCAAGGGAGCGCTGGGGCGGCCCCAGCGCGAGCACCCTCGCGTTGGGTTGCAGCCCCGTCGGAATTCCACCCACACCAGGCTGGCGGTTCGGGATCGGTTTGGGCTTCGATTTGGGGCCCACGTTGGGTCCAGAATTGTTCTGCATAGTTTTGGAACGGGGCCTACATTGCGTCAACAGCGGCATTCTCAAGAACATTTCTTTTCAAGGATGCTGACAATATTCTGTATCGCTGCGCGTATTCCGCTGGGCGAAGTACCCGCCGAGGGCTCGAGGACCCGCCCAAATCAGATCCCAGATGGCTGGAAGACAGCCCCAAAGAGGCCAACAAGGGCCCAAAGAGGGCCCCGAAAAGGGTCCAGAAAGAATCGAAAACGGGCCCGAGGCGGCCGGCGGGCTTCTGGACGGCCCAAGCGCGAGCACTCTCACTTTGGGCCGCAGCCCCGTCCTGCCTTGCATTGCGGTATCTGGACCTGTTTGGGCCTTCCTTCGCTGGGGGGCGAAATTGGGTTCAGAATCGTCGAGAATCGGCCCTGGAGCTCGTCCAAAAACAGTTGCGAAAGTTGCATGCTGAAAGAGCTGCAGAGACGCCCGAAAGTGAGCTAGCAGAGGCGTCCGGGCGACCCATGGAGGCTAAAACTATCGAGCACACGTTTGTTGACGAAGCTGTGTCTGGGAGGCGCTCTGGAGGGCCCCGGGCGCCGAGTTTGGAGACCAAGAAGGGGCGGGGCCAACATGGAGCCGAGATGCGGCCAAAAGCTTTTTGGGAATGGTTTGAGTTTCGACCTCATCATTTGAAGATCTTCTTGAGCGTCTCGGGAAGTATCTTGGGCATCTTTGAGGTGTCGGAGGGTGCATCTGGAGGCTCCAGGAGCCCGGGAGGTGCGTTGATGAGCTCGTCCCCCCCTCTCCCCCTCCCTCAAACAGGATTCTGGACCCTGGGGGAGCGGAACAGGTGGGGACGAAGACAGCGAATGTCTCTCTCGCCTTCTCACCCCAGCAAGCGGGGGGTCGGCGGAAAAGGAAGAGGGATGGAGGGGAGGAGGAGGAGGAGGAGGAGGAGGAGGAGGAGGAGGAGGAGGAGGAGGAGGAGGAGGGGGGAGGAGGAAAAGGAGGAGGAAAAAGGAGGAGGAAAAGGAGGAGGAGGAGGAGGAGGAGGAGGAGGAGGAGGAGGAGGGGGAGGAGGGGAGGAGGGGGAGGAGGAGGGGGGGGAGGAGGGGGAGGAGGAGGAGCAGGAGGAGGAGGAAGAGGAGGAGGAGGAGGAGGAGGAGGAGGAGGAGGAGGAGGAACAAGAGGAGGATTGAGAAAGGCGGAGGCGGAGGCGGAGGCGGAGGGGGAGGATGGAGGCCCCGCGGAGGATGACGAGCAAGGAGGGAGGAGGGAGGAGGTAGAGAGGATGGAGGAGGGAGTATCACGAATTTCCTGCCTCTTCTTCTTTGCCCTTCCTCTTATCCCTGCTCCATCCTTCCTTCTACCCCCTTTGCGGCCTGACCCTCGTGGCCTGGTGGCCTAAGTTGGCGGCGCGCCAACTCGGAGGCCACTGTGCTTGGCGAGAGCATTTCTCCGGTTTGTGGATCACCCGTTGAAGCCAAGTCCGACCGACCCCCCTTTTGCCGCCATCCTTCCGGCTCTCTCATGTTCCTCTCATTTCTCCTCCGTCCTCCCCCCTCCCGCTTCGATGCTCTTCCCTGCTTCTTCTACCTCCTTGGTAGACAGATCCACTGGCGGTAAAAAGAGGAGCCTTCCTCTCTCCTTCTCTTCCTCCTCCTTCCCCGCCCCCGCCTGCCCCCTCCCCCCCGGACCAGGTCATATGTGGCCAGTGCCGGGGAGCCTTCGCCGTGCCGCACTTCCAGGGTGCGCCTGGCAGGCGGCCGTGACCCGGGGTGGCCCTCGGGGGGCGGCCGTGCAAGCCACAATCGGTTCTTCTGCTCCCTCCGCCCGCGGACCGGCCTAACGCCGCCAGCTGTCGTTCCTGGCAGGGCTTGGGGTTGCCTCTGGCGGGGGCCGCCGGCTATACGCACGCGTGGTTGGGTGTCACCCGCAGGGGCGCGAAGGCAGCTGCGCTTCGCGCGTAGTGGCCTGAGCCGCATGGGGGCCCTTCTCCAGGGAGGCTGCGCGAGGGCGCGAAGGTGAGCACGCGTCGCGCATCGCGGGGCGCGAGGCGCGGAGTTGGGCGACCTAGAGTGGGATGGAGGAGGAGGAGGAGGATGATGGAGGAGGAGGAGGAGGAGGAGGAGGAGGAGGAGGAGGAGGAGGCGGAGGAGGAGGAGGAGGAGGAGGAGGCGGAGTTGGGTGACCCAGCGCGTGTACGCCGAGGCGGATCCTGGGGCCCACAGGCTGGGCTTGGCCAGGGCCGGCATCGGCGTGCAGCCCGCGCCAAGCCTGTCCGCACAGAAGCAGCTCTCAGCAGTTCGGGTGGCCCCGATGCGCCTGTGATGAAACGCACCACGTACCTCAGAGGAGGAAAAAGTCTGATACTGGTGCCTTTCCCTCGCCTGTTGGGCCTGCTGGGAGGCCCTCGTCGCCACGGCTGGACTCGCCCCGAAAATCTGGTCAGAACCCACCCCAGGAGAGGTCTGGGGAGTTGCGGAATCGGTACCGGTTGGTTTCCCCAGTGCCGCGTTCAAAACGTGCGGGTGGAGCACGCTGCGTGCTGGCTCGGCACGTGTTGGCCCGCGTTTGCGAACGCCTGACCTGCGCTTTCGATCCACGTGTTGAGTTTCGTGTCAACACGCTACGGGCTGTGCGGGTTGCGCATCGGGACAGACAGGCCCGGGAGGTGGCCGCGGCTGGCCTCCTCCGCATGCCGCTGCCCCCTGGTAGAGCCGGTAGCCTCAGAGACGATCTCAGCACCGCTCCCCGGGGACCTTCGGCGCCCGGGGGGGGGGGGGCAGCGGGCACGAGGGCCCGGAGCAGCCTCGGCTCTGGACGGGGCACCCCTCGATGCATGCCCTGCGGATCTGGGCTGCCCGCCTCGGAGTGCTCTCCGTCTGGGGCGCCTCCGCGACGGGGCGCTGGGCCTTCGTTGAGGCGGCTCATGTTCTTGGCCCGCACCCGCGTGGCCGTAATCCAGAAACCGCATTAAAGTGATCATTCTGCCCCTCTGTGACAGAGGGGGTGCGTTTGGAGGCCCTCTGTGACAGAGGGGGGGCCAAAAAACAAATGATCACTTTAATGCGGCTTCTGGATTACCTCGGGGGGCTGCCTCTGCGCGGCCACAAGCCACAAGCCTTGCCAGTCGTGGATCCAGAGCGGGGCTGCCGACGGAGCAGCGTAGCAGTTCAGTGTTTCGCCGCGCAGCTGGAGCGAGGACCGGCGGCGCGCCCCTGTATTCCTAGGACGTAGATCGCCCGCGCCTTGTCTGCATCGCGCCCGCTCGGAGCACCCCACCGCAGGCGTCAAAGCACATCTGCACAGGCGCTCCCAGGCTTCCGGCGCAGTGATTTCAAGACGCCGGAAGTCTCGGACCTAGAGGTCTCCGATGCGTGTTGCGCGCCAGGCGAGAAAAGCGTCTGCTTGTGAGGAGATGCACGTCCCCGTGTCAAGCGGAGGCGTGCAAGCTAGAGCGTCTGTCGCAGCTGCAGCCGGGATCCCGACCAGTACGAGCTTCCAGGGTCCTGAGACTCGAGCTTCGAGGGCGGAGGTCTTTCTCTCGCAGTGCTTCACGATAGCAGGGTCTCTAGCAGAGACAGCAAGAAAAACTTCGAAGACGACCCGCCGGGGGGGCCGGGGAGCCCCAGGGCGCCGTTCTCGGACAGCCGTGTCGCCCGAGGCCTCCTCGCAATTGATTCCGGCATCCTGCTCGTGCCTCCGTGCCGGCTGCACGCCTGGTCCGCACGGCCACGATCCCTCGCTGCCGTGCGCGTATACCCCCCGTCCTGGCTGCACACTGCCCAGGAAACCATTGGTTCGATGCTCGTTTTGGGGACCTTCCTGGGGGCCACCTAATGGATCTGTTCGACGCAGCTTCGACGCACGAGTGGAGCGAGTGGCTGCAGGAAGGTCCCCAGAATGAGCATCTAACATTGGAATGCCTTGGAATGCACGCTGCTTTCACTAGCCGACCTCCTCCTCCTCGACCCGGCTCTTCACCTTTTGGTGCTATTAGCGTGTTTCGCCGGGGTAGCTTTGATTCAGGAGGGGACGACAGACACAACTCAACGTCGATTCCGAGGAACATCTGGGAAAGTACGGGAAGTGGCGGGAATAGTCGCATCCATAGAAACATGCATCAGCATGGCAATTCCTGGGACGTGTGTCCATTGATTTGCTCGTGTGTCAGGACATCTTCAGAGACTCCTCGCAGGTCCGCGCGTACATTGGAAGTTCCGTCCTCCGCCGCAGCTTGTTCTGCTCAGGAGGCGCGCGCGCGCACACACTGACACACACACACACACACAGACACACACACACACACACACACACACACACACGCGCACGCACGCACACGCACACGCACACGCACACGCACACTCGCACGCACACGCACACGCACACGCACACGCACACGCACACGCACACGCACACGCACACGCACACGCACACACGCACGCAGATGCACGCACACGCACGCACGCACGCACGCACGCACGCACACACGCACACACGCACACACGCACAGACACACACACACACAGCACGCACGCACGCACGCACGCACGCACGCACGCACACACGCACACACGCACACACGCACCCACACACGCACACACGCACACACGCACACACGCACACACGCACACACGCACAAACGCACACACGCACACACGCACACACGCGCACACGTGCACACGCGCACACGCGCACACGCGCACGCGCACACGTGCACACGCGCACACGCACACGCACACGCACGCGCACACGCACACGCACACGCACATGCACACACACACACACACGCGCGCACACACATACACAAATACACGCGCATACACATACACACACACGCGCACGCACACAGACGGACACAAAGTATCGTCGACACCCAAGAAGTATGGGAAGATATGGTACGTGGAGAGGAATACGAAGCTCGAGAAAGTATGGGAACATGTGGGGAATCATGGGATTTGTGCCGATGGATTAGTGTGTCACTGGGCCCCTTCAGTTCTACATGTCCTTCTCTCCTCCGCTTCCCGCTGGGAGGAAGGAAAGAGCCACACTTTGTTGTCACTCGGCCCATGCTCTAATTCAGTGCTCAGAGAAGATCGTTGTCGACTTGTGGGGACCCCAGCTTACGGTGGAAGCCGTGCCCGGCCTGACCGTATGTATGCCCTGGGGATCAAAAGAAAACATCGGCAGTTCCATCATGGGGTCCCTTTGCAACGTGTTAGGACCATCGTGGACCCAATCGTTGACTTCTGGAGCCAGATTAAGGCCACTCTGGAAAGTCTTGCTTCGACCTGAGTCCTGAGGGCCTCCAGTGGCCCGTCAGGGCCATCCAGGAACCTTTCGGAAGTTCAGGAGGGGAGGAGGAGGGGGAGGGTGAAGAGGACGAGGACAAGGGGGATCATTCTCGGCTTCTGAGGATGCCCAGCTCAGGCTCGGGAGAGGCATTTGATTGAATACGGTGGAGGGAGACCTGCGGGGGGCTGTCAAGCAGCGTGTAAGCCAGCACGAAGCCTCGCGGGCCCGCTCAAGTCGGGCTCCCCGAAGCCCCCCTTGCTTCGGATGCTGCCCCATCGTCCCGCTCTGAGCTCGTTCGGCGCCCGGGCTCGCTCAGCCGCCGAATGAGCAGCCGGACCGGTCCAGGTCCAACAAGGCCGTGGGCATCGAGCCCGCCCGCCCGCCGATTGGGCTCGATCCCGGGCCCGTTCGGCGGCCGAGCGGGCCCAGGCGCCAGACCCTGCGGTGCTGCTGCACCTCCAGCGGCGAGGCTCGGCGCCACTGCCGGGGCCAACCCCCCAGCCGGCGCGAAGGATATGCGCGCTCCGCGCGTCGCCGCCCGGGCCGCCAGGCGGTCCTTCTCCAGGGGCGGCGGTGGGAGGGCGCGGCGCTGACCGCGCGTCGCGCCTCGCGGGGCGCGATGCTCGAAGTTTTGGGGGCCCGGGAGCCTCTTCGACCCTCGAGGCTCCGCGGACGTCGAGCCTCTCCAAGAATTTCGGACCTCCTTGAGCCTGCACGAACCTGCGCGAACCTGCCCGAAGCTCCCCAGACCTTGCCAGACCTCCCCGAAGCTCCCCGAACCTCCTCGAACTTCTTGGAACATACTCGGACCTAGATCCCCACTTTGGTTGTCGGGCCACAGCTTGGCGCTCCAGCGGCCGTTCAGGACAGTCGGGCATCTTTGGAACGCTCTCGGCGAGGCGCAGCCGCTGGAAGGCATCCCGAGGCTGCTGGAGAACCGTCGAGAACCAACGGAAACTTTTGTAAGCCTCGAATCTCGGACCACTGGAGCCTCTTAGATCCCTCCTCGACCTCTCGTCGGCCCCAGCGCAGCGCCCGCCTCCGCAGCTCGGCAGCCCAGGACGCGCGGTCCACAGCAGTGGGCACGGTGCACGCCCTGCAGGGGTCCATCGCCCCACGGGGGGGGGAGGGCTCTCGATGTTTGAGGGGGGGGAGGGAGGGACGGACGGACGGAGGGAGGGAGGGAGGAGGAGGAGGACCAGTGTAAACCTAAGACGCATCAGCGATGTTGCAATAAATCCGCCAAGCTCTCTCTTCATAGGGCCCTACAGAAATCGATACTCATTGCGGGAAATGCCCCATGGAAAAAAACAAACGCTATAGAGTTTTCAACGTGACTGCTGCGTCCTGACACTCCTACACCGTGCCAGATCTCCATTCCTGGGAGTTCAAGCGCCGCGAATGAACATGAATGTTGCGTTCTGACAATCCGAAACCCTGCCAGAACACCACTCCTGGGACTTCGACCATGCGA